ATTCTGACCAGTGTGAGGTGATACCTCATTGTAGTTTTGATTATCTTTCTCTAATAATTAGAGATGTTAGCTCTATGACTTCTGTTTGGATTTTTCTTGGATTTTTCTTACATTTTCTTTCTCTTTGTTGAAGTTCCTACTGTGTTCCATTCTCCTTAGTTTGGTGAGCGTATTATTATGACCATTACTTTGAACCCTTTCTCAGGTGTTACTTATCACTGTTTCATTAATGTTTTTTCTGTCTATTTAAAATTGAAGTATAGTTGATTTATAGTATTGTATTAGTTTCAGATGTACAACATAGTGATTTAATATTTTTATAGCTCATAATCCATTTAAAGTTATTACAAAACAATGGCTATATTTCCCTGTACTATACAGTGTATCCTTGTTGCTTATCTATTTTATATATAGTGGTTTGTATCTCTGAATGTTATTTTTGTTTGGATGGCCTTGTGTAAGGTGACCTTGTCGTTCAACCCTGCCTTAGGTCTGGGTTGTCTCTCAAACCTTTGTTGTTGTCCAAGCAGCCTATTTTAGTTGTAATAATTCTCAGTTATTGAGGGTGTTCCTAGACCAGTGTCTTAGAGGGGAGATCTCATTCCTAGATTCAGGCTGATGTGAAGTGAGACCCTCCGCTAATAGCTTTTAAAGGATGCAAATATGTACAGCCCCATGTGACTGCAAGTGTAAGCCCTGCTGGCCCCCAGAACTGGGCAAACTAGAGGTGTCCTGGGCAGCAGTCAAAAAATTGGGGCTCCAGACAAGTGTACAGGCTCCCTTCTGTGAGATACTGTTGCTGACCAGGGTCCTTGGACTCTTTAATGAATAGAGATTGATGAGGTCAGACAAGAAATTGAGGCAAGGTTTTATTGGGACTCATGCTGCAGCATGAGGGAGTAGAAACAAGTCCATGTGGTCTAATGTAGTGGTGGTCTAATGTGTAATCTAAGTCAGTGTTTCCGTATTGATTTTCTGTCTGGATTGTCTGTCCATTTATGTGAGTGGGATGTTAAAGTCCCCTACTGTTATTGTGTTACTGCCAGTTTCTCTCTTTATGTTTATTAATATTTGCTTTACGTATTTAGGTGCTCCTGTGTTGGGTGCATATATATTTACAATTGTTTTACCTTCTTGGATTGATCCCTTTATCATTATTTAATGCCCTTCTTTGTTTCTTGTTATAATCTCTAAGTCTATTTATTTTTGATATAAGTATTGTTACCCCAGCTTTCTTTTGCTTTCCATTTTACATGGAATACCTTTTTACATCCCCTCACTTTCAGTCTGTTGTATGTCTTAGATCTGAAGTGAGTCTCTTGTAGCCACCATATATATATATATATATATATATATATATATAGTTTTTGTATCCATTCAGTCAGTCTGTGTCTTTTGATTGGGGCATTTATTCTGTTTACATTTAGTGCGATTATTGATTAGTATGTTCTTATTGCCATTTTGTTAATTGTTTTGGATTTGGTTTTGTAGGTCTTTTTTCCCCTTTCTTCTTTTGTTCTTTTGTGATTTGATGACAGTCTTTAGTGTCATGTTTGGATTCTTTTCTCTTTGTGTGTGTGTCTATAATAGGTTTATGGTTTGAGGTTACCATGAGATTTATATATAGGAATCTCTCAATATATATATGATTATTTCCAATTTCTGATTTCTTAATTTCAAATGAATTTTAACAACCCTGTATTTTTACTTCCTTTCCCCCATGATTACTGTTTTAGACATCATCTTTTACATCTTTTTGTTTTGTGTATCCCTTAAATGCTTATTGTGAATATAGATAATTTTACTACTTTTGTCTTTTAACCTTCCTGCTAACTTTGTGTGTGGTTGATTTACTACCTTTACTGTATATTTGCTTTTATCAATGAGCTTTTTCCTTTTGTACTTTTTATGTTTCTAGTTGTTGTCTTTCCTTTTTCACATGGAGAAGTTCCCTTAACATTTCTCATAATGCTAGTTTGGTGATGCTGAACTCTTTGCTTTTACCTGGTTGTAAAACTTTTGCTCTATCCATCAAATCTGAAAGAAAGCCTTGTGGGGTAGAGCATTTCTTGTTGTAGGTTTTCCCTTTCATCATTTAAAATATACCATGCCACTCCCATCTGGCCTATAGAGTTTCTGCTGAAAAGTTAGCTGATAGACTTACAGAAGTTGCCTTGTACCTAACTTGTTGCTTTTCCCTTGCTTTTAATATTCTCTCTTCATCTTATATTTTCTCATTTTAATTACAGTGTGTCTTGGTATGGTCCTCTTTGGGATGATTGTGTTTGGGACTCTCTGTGCTTCCTGGACCTTGATGTGCATTTCCTTTCCCAGGCTAGGGAAGTTTTCAGCTATTATGTCTTCAATTATGTCCTCTGCCCCTTTTTCTGTCTTCTCCTTCAGGGATGCCTCTAATGCCAATGTTAATAGACTTGATGTTGTCTCAGAGGTCTTTTAAACTGTCTTAATTTCTTTTTTATTCTTTTTTCTTTTCATTATTCCTTTTCCAGCTCACTGTTCCATTTCTCTGTATCATTTAATCTCCTATTGATTCCTTGTAGTGTATTTTTCATTTTAGGTATTGTATTTTTCAGCTCTATTTGGTTCTTCTTTTTATCTTCTAACTTTGTTAAGCTTCTCACTGTGTTCATTCTTCTCCCAAGTTGTTTGATTATTTTCATGATTATTACCTTGAACTTTTTGTTGGGTAGATTGCCTATTTCCATTTAACTTAGTTCTTCCTCTGGGACTTTTATCTTGTTCCTTCGTTTGGAACATGTTCCTCTGTTGCCTCATGTTGCCTAGTTTTCTGTTTTTCTTTCTGTGTATCTTGGAGAAGGAGCCTTTTGTAGGAGACGTCCTATGCGTCCCAGCAGCACACTCCCCTCTGGTCACCAGAGCTGTCTGTTCTAGGAGTGACCCCTATGTGGGCAGGCTGACTACCATGAGTAGTCTCCTAGGTGTGGCTGGGCCCTGGTCTGGTTGGTTGCCAGGCCTTGCCATGTGTGGAGGCTCTCAGCCATTGGTTGACAGGGCTGTGTCATGAGGTAGCTGGCTGTGGAACCCTGGGGGCTTTTAGGGCTAGTCCTGGCCCACTGGTGGGCAGAGCTGTGTTCTGGGGTGGGTGTTTGCTGGGCTGGTATTCCCAGATCTAGTGTCAGCCTGCTGCCACGTGGGGCTGGTTCCTGACAGGGCTGGCTGAGGGGTCCAAAGTATCTCATAACTGGTGTTGGCCTGTTAGTGGATGGCACCAGGTCTTGGGGTCCTGGAGCTGGTGTCAGTGTGCTGATAGGCAGGGCTGGGGCCCAAGGTGTCCTAGGGCTAGTGCTGGCTCACTGGTGGGCAGAGCTGAATCCTGGGTAAGTCCTGGGTCTCTGGCTGTAGGTCCCTGGGAGTCCCAAAGCTGGTGTTTACTCACTGGTAGGTTGGGCTAGATCCCAGAGCCACTGGCTACGGAGCCCATGGTGTCCCAGTGCTGGTGTTGGCCTGCTGGTGAGTAGGTCCAGGGCCCAGGGGGTTGCAGCACAGGTGCTGGCCTCCTGGTGGGCAGCTGAATCCTGATAAGGTAGGCTGCAGGGTTGTGATGATCCTGGGCTGGCATTTGCCCACTGGTGGTGTGGGTCAGGGCTCAAGGGGTCCCAGGGCTGGTGCCCACCCACCAGTATGTGAATCCACATCCTGGACCTAGTTCTGACCCACTGGTAGGCCACTGGTAGGTCCTGGTGTCTCTGGCTGTCGGACCTAGGGGTACCGGAAGTGGTGTCAGACTGCTGATGGGCAGGGCTGGTTCATGACATAGCTAGCTGTAAGGTCTAAGGTGTCCTGAAGCTTGTTTCAGTCTGGTGGTGGGTGGAGCCAGTTGTCTGGGCAGCTGGCTGATGGGCCTGAGGTGGCTAATACCTGGTGTTCGTCTGCTAGTGGGTGGGGCTGGGGCCCAGGGGGTCCCAGGGCTGGTGTCTGCCTGCTGGTGGATAGGGCTATGTCCCAGGGTGGCTGTGGGCTCGGGGCATCTTAAGGCAGCTAGTGGGTATGTCCCTGCCTGGCTAGTTACTTGGCCTGAGAACCTTGGTTCCAGTTCTGACAGACTGGTGGCCAGGGCTGGGTCCCAGTGCTAATAAGCTAGAGGGAGTATTCCAAAGTGACATTTGTTCTACCAGTGTCCATGTGGTAGAAAGAGCTCCCCAAAATGGCTGACACCATTTGATGTGTCCCCCATGGTGAGCTCCAGTGTCCTCCTGACTTTCTGGTAGGCTCTCCAAGATCAGCAGGTGGGTCTGACTCAGGCTCCTTTCAAATTATTGCTTCTACCATGACTCCTGGACCACGTGAGATGGTGTTTGTGCCCTTTAAGAGTAGAGCCTCTATTTCCCATAGCCTTGTGACTTTCCCGAAAGTAAGCCCCATTGACCATCAAAGCCAGATATTCTGGGGGCTTGTCTTCTTGGCGTAGGACTCCTGGGCTGGGAAGCCCAGTGTGGGGCTTGGACCTCCTGTTTCTCAGGGATAACCTCTGCCATTGTAATTATCCTCCCCTTGTGGGTTACTCACTTGGGGCTGTGGATCTTGACTGTACTGTGATTCCACCCCTCTGACCTGTCTTGTTGTGGTTCCTTCTTTGTATCTTTAGTAGAAGATCTTTTCTGCTAATCATCCAGTTTTTCTCATCAATGGTTGCTCTGTAAATAGTTGTCATTTTAGTGTGCCCATTAGAGGAGGTGAGCTCAGGGTGTTCCTACTCTGCCATCTTGGCCAAGCTGAGCCTCTGTGTGCCTTTTAAAACCCAGGAGATATATTATCCTTAGCTTGTTATCTAGCATCAATTTCACATTGTATTACTATTACTGAATAACTATAATTGCTTATTTACTATTCTTATAGATTATGAAAATGATTCTTTAGTTATAAATAAATGTTGTTCATATAATCTAATAGCAGATGTTTCGTAATTCTAAAGCTCAGAGAAGGAAAGGGCTAGCCCTGCTATTTCAGATCTTTCACAGATCCTCAAGTCTCAAGATGGATCACCTTTTTTAAACACTTCAAATGAAATTTTAACTGATGAAGATCTGTCCCATCTACTTTCATCAAAGACCCATGATAAATCACTTACAAGAATATTAATGAGCAAAGAAATTCAAAATTCACAGTCTGTTGGAACATTGCTTCAAGGGAATGAAACAGCGACACCATCATTCATTTCACCCCCTGTTGTCAAAATGAAGACTCTGGCTACTGACATCTCAAAGGTAAGATACAGTAAAATAACTTGAAAGCTACTTATTTTAATTGCTATACTCCTTCAATATTTTGAATAAATGTTAATTAAAAACATCAATATTTTCTTATTTAAGTGGAATAAAAAGTTTGTCTTTTGATACAACCTGTTTTATATTTAGGATTTTTTTTTTTTTTTTTGAGGTACGCGGGCCTCTCACTGTTGTGGCCTCTCCCGTTGTGGAGCACAGGCTCCGGACGCACAGGCTTAGCAGCCATGGCCCACAGGCCCAGCCGCTCCGCGGCATGTGGGATCTTCCCGGACCGGGGCACAAACCCGTGTCCCCTGCATCGGCAGGCGGACTCTCAACCACTGCGCCATCAGGGAAGCCCTAGAAAATTCTTATTTTAAAATTTGGGGAAAAAGGGAAACGATCAAATTGCTGTACATATTTAACATATATTCACAATTTTTTTATCATGGAAGTTATTAAAGTGGCCTTATAAAAATAATTTTTTAAAGCCATTTGAGTTTAGAGATTGAATCAGGTGAAAATATAAATCTAAACTAGAATCATAATAAAAAATTATTAACATGATGTATTTGGAATTATTTATGAGGAAGAATCACAATATTGCTTGGTGGGTCCCTCCACACCATTAAGTGTTCCCAAATGTCTCTCAGATCCATTAATTGTTCTCATTTTTAAATTTGATACATTCAGGAAATAATGAAAAGTAAAATGTTGCTGTAATGACATTGTAGATATCAAAGAAGGTAATTAGAGTTCTAAGATGTATAATTTTTAATTACTTATTTTAACTTTTGTAATTAAGGCTGATATTTTAGAAGAGAATTTACGAAGTAAGATTAAAAAACAAACTTACGAAGAAGCAAGAGAATTTCAAGGTAAAAAGATTTTCTGTTTTGTAAGATAAAAATGTTAATGATTGTGTGTTCCCATATTATAAGTAAATTACTAAATGTAATTTAATAATAAGTAACATTATAACACACACATATTCTTTTCTTTTTTAATCTATTTTATTTATTTATTTTTGACTGTGTTGGGTCTTCATTGCTGTGCACAGGCTTTCTTTAGTTGCGGTGAGTGGGGGCTGCTCTTCATTGTGGTGCACGGGCTTCTCATTGCAGTGTGCGGGTTTCTTATCATGGTGGCTTCCCTTGTTGTGGAGCACAGGCTCTTGACGTCTGGGCTTCAGTAGTTGCAGCACACGAGCTCAGTAGTTGTGGCTCACAGGCTCTAGAGCACAGTTCAGTAGTTGTGGCACATGGGCTTAGTTGCTTCGCAGCATGTGGCATCTTCCCAGACCAGGGCTCGAACCCGTGTCCCCGCATTGGCAGGCGGATTCTCAACCACTGCGCCACCAGGGAAGCCCCACACATATATCCTTTTTCAGATTCTTTTCCATTATAGGTTATTATAAGATATTGAACATAGTTCCTTGTGCTATACAGTTAGCCCTTGTTTTTGGCAGTACACGGGCCTCTCACTGTTGTGGCCTCTCCCGTTGCGGAGCACAGCCTCCGGATGTGCAGGCTCAGCAGCCATGGCTCACGGGCCCAGCCGCTCCGTGGCATGTGGGATCTTGCCGGACCGGGGCATGAACCCGTGTCCCCTGCATCGGCAGGCGGACTGTCAACCACTGCACCACCAAGGAAGCCCAGTTAGCCCTTTTTTATCTATTTTATATATAGTAATGTGTATCTACTAATCCCAAATTCCAAATTTATCTCTCCCTGCCTCTTCTCTTTTTTAACCATAAGTTTGTTTTCCATGTCTGTGAATCTGTTTCTGTTTTATAAATAAGTTCATTTGTATCATTTTAAAAGATTACACAAATAAGTAAGATCATATGATATTTGTCTTTCTCTGTCTGACTTACTTCACTTAGTATGATAATCTGTAGGTCCATCCATGTTGCTACAAATGGCATTATTTCATTCTTTTTTTATGACTAATATTCCATTGTGTGTGTGTGTGTGTGTGTGTGTGCATACATACATATATGCACACCACCTCTTTATCCATTCTGTCGATGGACATTTAGGTTGCTTCCATGTCTTGGCTGTTGTAAATAGTGCTGGTGTGAACATTGGGGTCCATGTATCTTTTTGAATTAGAGTTTTTGTCCTTTCCAGATATATGCCCAGGAGTGTGATTGCTAGATCATATGGTAACTCTATTTTTAGTTTTTGAAGGGTCCTCCAGACTGTTCTCTATAGTGGCTTTACCAGTTTACATTCCCACCAACAGTGTAGGAGGGTCCCCTTTTCTCCACACCCTCTCCAGCATTTATTATTTGTAGACTTTTTGATGATGGCCACTTTGACTGATGTGACATGATACCTCATTGTAGTTTTGATTTGCATTTCTCTAGTAATTAACAGTGTTGAATATCTTTTTCTGTGTGTGATGGCCATCTGTATAACTTCTTTGAAGAAATGTCTATTTAGGTCTTCTGCCCTTTTTTGATTAGCTTGTTTGGTTTTTTGATATTAAGCTATATGAGCTGTTTATATATTTTGGAAATTAATCCTGTGTTGCTTGCATCGTTTGCAAATATTTTCTCCCATCCTGTAGGTTGTGTCTTTATTTGGTTTATGGTTTCCTTTACTATGCAGAGACTTTCAAATTTAATTAGGTCCCATTTGTTTATTTTTGCTTTTATTTCCATTACTGTAGAAGACAGATCCAGAAAAATATTGATGCAATTTATGTCAAAGAGTGTTCTGCCCATGTTTTCCTCTAGGAGTTTTATAAATAGTATCCAGTCTTACATTTAGGTCTTTAGCAACATAATGATTTGATATTTGTGTATATTGTGAAATGATCACCACAATATGTCTAGTTAACATCCATCACCATGCATAGTTACAAAACATTTTTTCTTGTGGTGAGGACTTTAAAGATCTACTCTCTTAGCAAACTTTCAAATATTCAATACAGTATTTTAATTATAGTCATCATGCTGTACATTATGTTGTGGTTTTGATTTGCATTTCTCTAATGATTAGTGATGTTGAGACTCTTTTCATGTACCTTTTGGCCATCTTTATATCTTTTTAGGAAAAATATCTATTCAGATCCTCTGCCCATTTTTTAATCAGATTAGTTTTTGTTGTTTTGCTATTGAGTTGTATGAGTTTTTCACATATATTACATATTAACCCCTTATCAGATACATGATTTGCAAATATTTTCTCTCATTTGATAGGTTGCCCTTTTGTTTTGTTGTTGGATTTTTGCTTTGCCAGAGCATTCCAGTTTGATGTAGTCCTACTTGTTTATATTTGCTTTTTTTGCCTTTGATTTTATTGTCAAACCCCAAAAATCATTTCCAAGACCAATGTCAAGGAGCTTACTGCCTATGTTTTCTTCTAGGAGTTTTATCATTTTAGGTCTTACATCAAGTTTTGAGTTAATTGTGTATGGTGTAAGATGGTAGTCAATTTCATTCTTTTGCACATGGCTTTCCAGTTTTCCCAGCATCATTTATTGAAGAGACTGTCCTTTTCCCATTGTATATTCTTGGTTCCTTTGTCATAAATTAATTGACCATATATGTGTGGGTTTGTTCTACTTTCCCTTTTGGCTTGTTTTTGATTCACTGGTTGTTTAAAAGTGTGTATTTAGATTCCACATCTTCGTGAATTCTCCAATTTTTTTGCTATTAATTTCTGTCTTTTTAATATTTATTTACTTATTTGGCTGCCCTGTGTCTTAGTTGTGGCATGCAAGATCTTTTGCTGTGTGCAAGATCTTCGTTGTGGCATGTGGGATCTTTTTAGTTGCGGCATGTGGGATCTTTTTAGTTGCAGCATGCAGGATCTTTTAGTTGCGGTACACAGGATGTTCGTTGCGGCATGTGGGATTTTCGTCACGGCATGCGGGCTCTTAGTTGCAGCCTGCGAGATCCAGTTCCCTGACCAGGGATTGAACCCAGGCCCCCTGCATTGGGAGCACTGAATCTTAATCACTGGACCACCAGGGACCTCCCTTTGCTATTAATTTGTGGTGTCATTCCACTGTGGTAGGAAAATATACTTGAAGATTTTAGTCTTCTTAGATTTGTTAAGACTTGTTTTTGACCTAACATGTAATCTATCCTAGAGATGGTTCTGTGTGTACTTAAGAATAATGTGTATTCTGCTGCTGGGTGAAATGTATGTACGTTTGTTGGACTATAGCGGTGTTGAAATCCTCAACAACTTTATAGAGTTGTTTTCCAGAGACTTTTTTTGTTCCTTTTTTGGGGTCATATTTCCCTGTTTCTTGTTGTTCCTCGACACCTGTGTTGCTATCCGCATATTTGAAAAAACTATTTCCTCTCCTTCTCTTTACAGACTGGCTTCCTATTGTTTATTTTCTTGACTGATTTTCTTTAATTTATTTATTTGTTATTCAGGTATGATTAACATATAAGACTTCTGTTTCCTTTATTTTCACCCTCTTACACCCCCCAGCTTTATTGAGATATAATTGACATGTAACATTTTATAAGTTTAAGGAATAAAACATGGTAATCATACACACATATGTTGCAAAATGATTGCCACAATAAGGTTAGTTAACACATCAATCATCTGAAATATTTTTTGTGGTAAGAACATTTAAGATCTACTCTTTTAATAACTTTCAAGTATGTAATACACTGTCATTAACTATAGTCACCAGGCTGTACATTAGCTCCTCAGAACTTATTCATCTTATACCTGGAAATGTGTACCCTTTGGCCAATATCTTCCCATTTCCCCCACTTACAAGCCCATGGTAACCACCATTTTACTCTTGGTTTCTGTGAGTTTGGTTTCTATGATGTTAATATTTGCTTGTCATATAGCTTTTATTATGTTGAGGGATGTTCCTTCTATGCTCAATTTGTTGAGAACTTTTCTTGTAGTATTCTTACCTGGCTTTGGTATCAGGGTAATGCTGACCTCACAAAATGAATTAGGGAGTGTTTTCTCATCTTCAGTTTTTGGAAAACTTTTTGAAGCGTTGGTATTAATTCTTCTCTAGATGTTTCATAGAATTCACCAGTAAACCATCTAACCCTGGGTTTTTCTTTGATGGGAGGTTTTTATTACTGATTCAGTCTCAGTATTAATTGGTTTGTTCAGATTTTCTGTTTCTCCATGATTCAGTGTTGATAGACTGTATGTTTCTTGTAATTTATCAGTTTCTTCTTGATTATCCAATGGTGATGTACAATTTTTATAGTATTCTTATCCTTTTTATTTCTGTGGTGTCCATTATAATTTCTCCTCTTTGATTTTTTATTTGCTTGAGTCTTTGTTGTATTATTTCTCAGTTGAAAGGTTTCTCAATTTTGTTTAACTTTAAAAAAAACAGCTGTTACTTTATTGATTTTTGTATTATTCTTCTAGTCTCTATTTCTGCTTTGATATTTATTTCCTTTCTTCTGATAACTTTGGGCTTGGATTTTTTTCTTCTTTTTCTAGTACTTACTTGTAAAGTTAGGTTGTTTGAGATCTTTTTTCTAAATATAGATGTTTATTGCTTTAAACTTTCTTCTTAGAACTGCTTTTGATGCATCCCATAAATTTTGGCATGTTGTTTTTATTTTCTTTTTTTTCAAGATAATTTTTTATTTTATCTCCATTTGTTCTTTGACTCACTGGTTATTTGAGAGTGTATTGTTTGATTTGCTCTTACCTGTGAATTTTCCAGTTTTTCTCCTGTTATTGATTTCTTTTCTGCAACCATTGGGTTCAGAAAATATACTTGGTATGATTTCAGTGTTCTTAAATTTGCTAAGATTTGTTTTGTTACCTATCATATGATCTACTCTGGAGAATGTTCTGTGTGTTCTTGAAAAGCATGTATGTTCTGCTGCTGCTATTGGTGGAATGTTTTGTATATG